TGTTCCTAATTACAAATGCAATTAGATTAAATGCCTTAAAACTGAAATGATGTAAATTGGCAGACTTGTTTCTGCCTGGGCTGACAAATACTATTTGACTTTCCACAAACTATTCCACCACCCACCTTCCTTCCGGCTATAAGTGGGATGTCATGGCAAAATGACAGACGTTCCCTGTTTGCTTGTTGTTCATGGCAAACTACTCTGCAGCACCTCCTGAGGCAACTTGAAATATTTTAGCAATGGTAATTCCTTCAGGTTTTCAGAATTCCACTGAAGCGATTGTGTCTGTAATTATATAGTCTATGAAAAAAAGTAATGGTACAAAATGCTTATATCTCAGTCTCCCCATAAATGTCCAAGGCAGAGCTTTTTCTTTCTTGGTTTTTGTAGGTCGTAAAACAGGGCCCGTGAGGTTTTATAATATGGGTACTGTATAATTATTAATTTGCCTTGTAAAGGTACTCTCCTGATAATTCTACTACTCATATTGGAATTCTGAGCAATAACTACATCCAGTTTCTATTCCCTGGGTACATCTACATGTGAAATTATTTGGACACAATACATTTCAGCAAAGTTTGCACCAGAATTTATTGCTTCTGGGTGCAACATTTACATGTGCACCTGGTACTGCAGCACGTTAAGACAGGGTGGTGCAGCGCCAGCTGGCAGGGGCCTGGGGGGGAGGGGAGGCCAGCCTGCCAACCCAGGGCTGTACCTGCTCAGCTCTGGAAGGGGTGGCTGGGGGATGAGGGTGCTATGGTGCGGGGCTAGCTGTCAGGCAGCCCTGCACTGTAGCATCCTCATGCCCTAGCCAGCCCTGGGCATTGTCTACATGTGTTGCAATGGAGTAAATAACTCTAATGTAGAATAGTACTTGTGTTGAGGAGTACTATCCTATAGTGGAGTTAATTAGTTTACTCCAGCCTAATAGCATTGCTTGTGTAGACAGTCATGCTGTACTGTAGAGTTAATTAGGCAACTCCATAGTAAGCGCCTCATGTAGGTACACTCCCTGTGAACTTTATTTTTTACTTACTTATGCCTCACCCCAACCCCATAAGATCAGGCTTTTTCCATTTCTTATGGCATCAGGTCAGCTCTGCTCTTATGTGCTTTCTTTTTGAAACACATAGACCTTGGCTTTCAGTGACTAGGGTTGAGCAGTGACCTATCCAACAGATTTTTAATGTGGGATGCCTATTAAAGTACATTGCATCTCCCCAGTCCTCATATACTGGGAAATCTTGGGAGAAGAAAGGGAAGGATGGTAAATGGGTACCTGCATTGCAGGAAGATAGCAAGCCATGGCACAAGTTTGATATGAGTCTCAGACAAGAAGGTTCCATGTGAGAAAGGGATAGCTGGAGCTGGTTTTTGGCTAAGAAATAAAATCCACAGTATACAGTTTGCAGTTCATGGAATTGCTGCCAGTACACCGGGTAATATATATCAGTGTTAGTTTATCTTATTGCAGGGATGTAACTACCAGGGTCTAACTACCTTGGCAGCAGCAGGGGCTAGGGCAGGCTGTGGTAGATGGACTGGCAGTGGTAGAAGCTGCTGTTCTAGCTCCCCTGTCAGTGGGCACCCAGGACTAGTGCCCCAGTTGCTCATCCCACACTACTGTCTTCTTGCACCCTAGGGCTAAATTAAGACCTCTGCCTTTAAGTCATGCAGACTGCAGCACTGGGAAGGAGTATGCCTGGAGTGAGATATATATGTGCAGTCAGTATGCTAGTGCAGAGCTAAAGTGCTGCTGTGTGACCTGAGGAAGCTGGCTGCTACTATCACTTTTTACATATTCCCTTGCTAATTCAAGTACAGAGTTGTATATGGTTTGGGGGTAAAAGGATATGACTTCTGCCACATGGAAATTCAGTGATCAAGCTCTCTGGCCTTGCCCTAGCTACTCATGACATCATTTATATTTAGCATTTAAAGATTGGAAAGTGGCCAAATGAACCTCATTTTACACAATAAAATGTAAAATAGGTTAAACGGTCTTATTGCTGTGAATGTCTACTACTTGGTGATGGTGGAAAGATGGAAGACAACTTATGAAATTTTCTCATGAAAACCTTCAATCATTTTAATAATGCAGCTTTTGCTGTGGAATGATTTTGCACTTATTCTTAATACTTAAGAAAGCTTTTGTTTTTGAAAATGTTCATTTTCAATGTTTTGCTTTCTTTTAGTTTTTATATTTTTGGTGTGAGCTTTTTTTCTTACAAACCAAGTTCCCAGCAGCAAAGGTGACAGTATGTAATAAAGGCATTTACTGGGGCAAAGGCTGTCCAGTCAGAGGTTCTCTGCCCCCTCCAAAGGGGTAAGTAGTAGAATGGTCCCCAGTCCGTGCCATAAAGCCTGGAGGACCCAAAAGATACTTAACTGTTCCCTGTCAAGTGTATACAGTCACAAACCCCAAAGCTGCTCAGCTTATCTCTTTTTTCAAACTTGTCTCCACACCAGCCAGATACCCTGCTTGTTTGAACCATCAACAGGGCTACTCAAGTTCTTGTAGTGGATGTTTTTGGTTGTAGCTGTGTTGGTCTAAGGACATAGGCAGGCAAGGTCCTTTGAGTAGATGTGATATCTTTTATTAGATCAACTGAGTTTATTTTTTCTTTTTATGTTGTGAAGTTTCCATTTCAAATGGCCATTCCCATTTTATGTTGCTGGGTTTTTGGCTGTAGCCGTGTTGGCTACAGTTGGTGTAATAAAAGATATCACATGTACTCAAAGAAACTTGCCTGCCTGTAATGGATGTGTCTTCTGTCTCACAGGCCAGCAGCTCTGGCTTTACTGTCTATTTAACCCATTCTTTCCCCCCTGTATAAGCAAGCCAATAAAAACTGAAGTACACAACCTTGTTATAGTATGAATCCCAGTAACACAGCAATATTCCAATAAACTCCATAGTCTGTCACAGCCTCATCAACCTCCTCCTGATTGAAGAGAGGAGGTGGGGGTCTGCAGCAGACTTGGATAGCTCTTCCTTCTGCTGTGCCACTGCAATTCTTTCAAAATGATGAGTTTCCTCCATTCTGGATATCTGCATATGCATTCTGTATGTCAACTCTTGATATCCCCATATGTTTCTCAGCTGAGCCCCCTATTACCAAAGTTCACTTACCTACTTCTTGAAGGATTCTACCAGGAGCAACTCTTACACAATGTGGTATCACATTTCACAGAGTGGACATTTTATACCCATGATGGATTCCTCCCTCCGCAGTACCTGTAACAGCTAGGGGATGAGGTAGCTGTGTGAAGGGGGCAATGTTCTACTTCTCTTTATCTCCTTATGATATGAGCAGATGAAAAGACACCTCCTTGTACTTTACATTGTCTTTCTATGCTGATGTAAATAACTTCAGGCTCAGACGTAGACGAGATGTGCAGCTATCTAATGGTAGCTTCTCTCAGTGGGTATATTCCTATCCCTCATCTGATAAACAAGGAATAACCTTTTTACCTTTAGGAAATGGATACCCTTGATGGATGTAGACAGATGAAACCTAAACTCACACCATATTCTTTAAGGGTTAATTCTCAACTGGTTAGGCAAAGTTGCCCTGTTTTAGTGGTTTGTATTATCTGTCTACTACTTTTTTTCTTTTTTTTTTTTTACTTTTGTGTTGTTTGTCCGTGCCCTTAATCTCTCCAGTCATGTGACAGTGAGAAGCAGGGTGAGAAAAAAGGGAAAGTTGGAAAAAAGAAAGTGATGAACTAGAACACTTAAGAGAGGCTTTTTAATATCCCAGTGTTGTCAAATCAAATCAAATCGTATCAAAAATCTCATGTCTAAGACAAAAAAAAATGGTTTTTCCATTTGAAAAAAATGTACTAGCAATTTACAGAGGCCAAGCCCATAACTTTGTGCCTTGGTACAGGAGTGATGTTGTAGCTTTAATGGAAGTGTCTGAGAGGCAAGGTTTTAATCTTGATATAATAATAGGGAAACCATGTTTATTTTAATCACACAGAATAACATTTTCACAATTTTGTTTACATTTTGTTAGCCCAACTTCTAATTTTGACCACACTGTAAAGCTATGGCTTCCTGCCATTAACTATAATGGGAGCAAGATTAATCATCTTTGGTATATATGTTGTAAGAGAAGTAATATATTTTAAAATTATTTTTGTGTAGTTGTCATATTAAAGTCTTGTCATTCACACTTGTATGGTCAGATGGATTTCATTACTATGGCACTGGTATAATTTTCAGGAGATATTATTAATTTAGACTTCTTCGTTATAGAGCAGCAGGGAAATTTTTAATCACCAGGAGCTCAGCCTTTTAAGTTAAATCATGACTCTTTTACCCTCTTACTCCCCAGTAAATAGAAGAAAGCTGCAAGATTAACTTCCATGTTTTTCTTATTTCTAGGGGAGGGGGGGGAGTGATTTTAAAAACATCCCCATTGCCTAATTTCAGGTGGCAATGCTCTCTAGTTGTCAGGATAGGGAAATGCACTAGAGACAGAGGGCGAAAAATTAGATCCATGTGAATCAACCAAAATTTTGCCATGTACCAGTGGAGTAATTGGATTGGGGTGACTGCAGCAGCCACTCAGGGCACCAATAGGGGTACAAGGGCAGTCAGAAGTCATTGCTGCCTGTGTGGGACAGCTGTCCTGGGTGCTCAGTTGCATTGTTACACCTTTGCCATTGACTTTGGGGCCAAAAGCCACCTGGGAACCTGATTTTAAGTTTCCTTTTCCTGTATCTATTCTACAAATTGACAGTAAACAAATAAATAAAATAAAACTTCATTCCTCTGAATACCATTCTGCTACAGTTTGACAAAGAAGTGCACAAAGATAATTTCACTATTTTAATATCTATTAAAAATTTTCTGAAGATATGCCATAGTTGATCTATGAAAAAATGTAAATAAACTTTACAAAACAGTGTTGGTCCAACACTTGTGTAACAATTGCTTTATCTAACCTGTCTTCCCTATTCTTTTGTTTTGTTTTGCTGTATAGACACCCTATTTCTGGCCATCAAATTGTTGGGAACCGGAAAACACAGACTATGGTCAGTATGGAATCTATACTGTTTTTCTCAAGACGCTTTTGTTTTATGGATAAACACCTAATAAGGTGTTTGTGATTTTACCATCCTATTATCCTATTATTAGAAACATTATTAGTGTATTGTCTAATCAGAGTGCAAGAACTGCTGTGCTGTGCTGAGCTCAAGATTGGCATTGAAAGCAAATCTGAACTCAATTCAGGTATAGGTAACAGCTGTGAGCATTGCAAATATATATGGTGAAAAGGTCTTAATGAAATAGAAGGTATTTTAAAGCGTGTGATTCTACCATTATTCTGAGGTTTAAATATGCACAAGCAGCTGATTTAGGACTTTTAAAAACTGAAACACAAGTCAAAATAGGCCAGATTTTTCAAAGAAATGTACATGTATGTATCAAATGAATGTGTGAAAATCTGTTTTAATTTGTATGGAGATTTAGCTACTAGGGATGCAAATGGCCACATCCTGGCACAGATATCTTATTTGCATTCTGCCTTGTAGTATTTGTACACACACATTAGAGGTGTGAAGTTATTTATGTAAACTTGAATTTAAAAATCTGGGCATAATTGAAAAAAAAAAGACTCAAATTAAAGATTTTCAAAAGAGGACACCCAAAGTTATTCTTCTGTATTAGATGTAATCCAAAGTAAGTGCCATAATTTTGGATGATACTGAGCAATCTGCATCTTCCATTTACTCTAATTGGAGGGTAATCAATACTTTAAAAAAAACAGCCCAGTTTTTTTAAGTGACTAAATAAGAACATGGTAATCTAAACTCTGGCACCCATTTCTAAATTTCCCAGACAATAAATCAGTATTTTCAATCTGGTATGTATTTATAGAGTCAGTTCTGTCCCACTATGGAGACGTGGTTTAGTTGAGTTAGTATAGAGTTAAGAATCAGCCCCAGTTTGTTGTGCAGTTGATGTGTGCAACTTTGCTTAAATCCATAAGAACAATACTTTTAATAAAAAGTGCTTCAAATTAGGCATCTAAAATGTTGAGATGTTGGGAATTTTTTTCAGATGTGTCAAGGAGCCACACCTCCCATTTTAACAACAATTTAAAAAAATGATTAACCTTTCTTTACTTCAATTAACCTGTCTGCAAAATAGGGAGAAAAAATGCTTTATCCATTCGGTGAACCACTGAGGTTTGCAGATGTAGAATTCAAGTGAAATCCATACCATCCATTATTAAACAATTTTTTTAGGAAGGTTTGAATAATTAATGAAGCGGACAAATGCTTGATTCACCACTTCTTTTCCCTTTTTTCTTTTTTATTTAAGTTTTTCTGTGCTATCCAGAGGCTGCATCTACACAAGATGCTTACTGCGCAGTAGCTTATTACTGCTGTACAGTAGTGTCGTATGGCATGAACCGTGATGTGACGCTACTGTGCAGTAGTAACGAGCTACTGCACAGTCAGTGTCACCAGGAAGCTGTGCAGGGATGCTACTGTGCAGTATCCAATCATTTAGTACTTGGGTGTGCAAGTACTAAATGACTGTATGATGACAACTATGCAGTCAGTGTCTTGTTTAGACGTGGCCACAGTCTCCCAAATTGTGCAAGACCAGAAAGTTATGAATTGCGTTTCCAAGGGAGCCTCTGAGATGACTTGGGGAATGCTAATAAATATGCCAAAAATGTTTGAGAGGGCTCTTTTTCTGTCTGGCATGGCTGAGCCTGAAGTCAGGCTGATCAAGTTGCAGTTTTTTTACGCTGACATTGATGAGGAAATACAGTATCTAACTGACATATTAAACTGACCTTACACCTGAAGAAAAGCGATAAAGGCACCATGAATGACTTGAAGATAGAAAAAAAAAATGTCAGGATCAATATTACAAATAAATCAAATTGAATGTGCTAGGTATTTTTTGGCTGGGACTAGAGACATGCTGCAGGGCATAAGAACAAAACAAAATATCAGTCTGTCCTTCTACAAAACAATGAACTTAAGAGTTAGTAGGTATTAGACCCACCCAATCATCGTATAGGCCATTCTGCTAAACAGTCTGTCTTCTTTAGATAGCGTATAGTGATGCCTGAAAATGGGCAAGTCTTTAAAGGAAAAGAGACACCTGTGCTGTGGAGCACTGAGTTTGTTCATGGCATTTCCAGGCATTCTCTTTTTGCTAATTAGGATCTGTCACCATCCAGCCTGGTAGGGGGATGAAAAATTTCTGCAGAAAATACAGTAGTGCTTTGAACAAACAAATGTAAGAACACACTTGTCCAGGGCTCAATCCTTTTAGTGTTCGCTCTCTACTCCTTGGAACAGTGCCTTACCACTGGCAAACATACAGGGTGGTTCAAACATATGGCCCATGGGCCAGACCTGGCCTGCACAGGTCAGGTTGTGTCATTTTTATGGACATGCAAAGGACTTTTTATGACTTCTTACAGGCTGGACCATACATCTCTGAAGAGATTCAGCCTACAGGGTTTGTTGCCGTGCCCTGTTACAGGAGTGTTAACCCCCTGTCTTTCAGAGCTGCTGTTTCAGCATGGCTGTACAACCCAGGGAGTTAATGCTGATGGTCACTCCCCCACTCCTCCACACCCCAACACTTTACCTGCCACCAAAACCAGAGTTTTTAGTAATCCTTGCTGACTTAGATCAACCCCAGGGGGAACAGAGAATGGAGGCAATAGTGTTAACTGCCTGGATTCTGGAGCCATGGGGTTAATGCTACCACCAGTGCTCAAGGATCATCTGGCCTATAGGAAGCCCTGCAGGAGCTTGGCCTATGGGACCCAATGCATTTGATACCTCTGTCCTACTATGTCAGGCAGTTGTTCTATTTAATTCAATAATCAGTTTCTATACACAGCTAGTACTACGTTCCTCAGCAGGCATAATCTTATGTAAAAGACAATTTGTAATAATATTCTCATTGAACAAACATCTTACCAATCCTAGTTAGTTCTATGTCCTGAAGTATGAGGGTTTCATAAGGGTTATGTCATTTTTACGGACATGCAGATATTGATGAGTGAGAACCATTAACATATACCGCTTAATAAGATTCAGTCCACAGTTTCAACAGAAAAAGTGGTAATCAATGAGAGTGAAATGCATCCCTCTGCAGGGGATCTACAGAAGTCCTGTGCTGATAGAAAAACAGATCTGGGCATATAGACCTTCTAGGGGCTTTCTGCAGAAGACTGAATGCTGTCTCACATGAACTCAGAGGGAGTGTCCAGAAGAGTGCAGTTGTGCATTATGTGGTGCTGCAGACCTGTCTGCAGCGCTATATGCTGCACATGCTGCACCTGCAGGCGTTCCCCGTATTGCTACTTTGCAAGGTGGGTTTTTTTTGTTTTTGTTTTGTTTGTTTGTTTTTGTATCCTGGGAGATCCCAGGACCAAAAAAAAACACACCTAAAAAAAGCAGGGTGGCATAAATGGTGGTAGCATGCACCACACAAAACCAGAGCCTGCCTGGTGAAAGCCATGTTCCAACTGCTGACCATGCTGCTTGCTGCAGGAGCTCCATAGCTGCGGTTCCTGGAGGTCCCCAGGGCCCCAGTTAAGGCTGCTGGGGCCAGTGCAGTTGTTGGCCCCAGTCTCCCCCATCCCACCTGGGGCAACAGGCTGTGCACCAGAGCGCACATGGCATGGGTGTTCCCCAGGGACAAGTAGAAGCATCACAAGGTGTGCCACTGCTACTTGTCCCTGAGGAAATGCATGTTTCTGCTCATGAGGATATGCCCAGAGATGCAGCAAATTTTCTCAGCACTTCTGCTGTTTGTTAGAAAATATAAGAAAAATAGAGACAATAGAGTATAATAAACCATTTGTAATTAATACCACTTCCCCTGCAGTGATGTTGAATGCTTCCAGTGTGTGTCATGCTGAGCAGTATTTTCCTATGAAGGAAAATATGGGGTAGAGCCAGAGCAGTGTTAAGTCCTGTTTTTCTCCCTTAAAATTAATGGAAGTGGCAGGTTTCTAGAGTCTTTCAGGGTCAGGGCATGCTCAAATAGATAAGGTAGTACCTTCCTCAATCATCATTGTCAGAAGCAGCAGTCCTTCCATATGAGGATGACAGACTTTCAGCAAATAGGGGAAAAATCACCTGGCCCCAGTTCAACTCAACCCCCGCTAGGGTTACCTGGCACCCTACTGGTTCTCACTGGTCCCAGGCCCCTTGCTGGGCCTCACTCTATAACCGTGCTGCCACAGGGCACCTCAAGTCTTAAGGGCAAATTGCATGGGTCCAATCCTCCCCTACACCACACCACAAGCCTTGCAGGTGTTACCGTAGTATTGTTCTCTGCTGTAAGGGCTTCAGTCTCCTTAGCCTCTGCCCCATTACTCTGGCTAGGCCTTTTTAGCCTGGGACCACTGTATCAGGCACCAGCTCTGGTTGCACACCTCTTGGGTATAAGGTTCCTGGCCCCTGTGTGGCTCTGTGGCCTCACTGTATGCCCACTCTGGCTGCAATAGTCACTCCAGCCTTCAGCCTGCTTCTGGCAGGGCTCAAAGTGATCCCATGCCCCTCGAGTACTAATGGAACCTCTGTATGCTGTCCCTGCAGTCCCAACCCAAACTGCTGGTATAACAACATAAACCATAAGCCTCTGGGCTATAACATAACATAAAGGGAAAGTAGCCCACTTTCCCTTTAAGAGGGAAAACCTTCCCTCATCTCTAGTGCTGGCATACCTTCTGGTCCTGGGATAACTTTGCGAGCTCCCTGAGCCTTACTGGGGTTCCACAGGCAAGATAGTAGTCCATTCAAGAGCCCTGCTGCCCAGAGTGCTTCACCCTGTGGCTGCCAGGGAGAGACTGACCGGCTCAGGATCTGGGGTTAACTTGCTCCAGCCTGAGCCCTCTTCCCGTCAGGTGAACCTCTCATTAGCTCCAGGCACTACCTGTAAGCAGGCTTTCATGCTCTTAACCCCCGTAAAGGAGCAGGCACACCCTAGTGCTCTGCTACAGATATTTTAGAATGGTTTCAATGGTATTGTCTTCAACATTAGA